TATAATTGTGTTTTTGGCTTTCAGTTGGTCACCTCGACTACAAGAGATGAGCTTTTGTTTATATATTCTGACATTTTGTAGACTAATATATATGCGACAAGCTTAAATTGGCTGATTTTATTTATTTTTCCAGCTAAACAATATTGTTTAATACTTTTTAACCTTTATATTCCTGATTTTAGAGGCCATAATTACTATTCTGGTTAAGTAGGAGGTTCAAATGTGTGTCTGCACGCTTTTTTAAATGTTTTTTTCTTCTGCTCTGTCCTCCACAGAGGTGGTCAGACTACGTGGGCAGATACCTGAACTCAGACTCTGCGTCCCCTGAGCTGCGTGAGCATCTGTCCCAGACGCCGGTGTTCCTCCCCAGGTGAGGCCCCAGCCATGTGTCCCTCTTGTCTGCATACTTTCTGTCCTGAGGCTCTAGACAGCCGCGCAGCCACTCCACTGTTGACAAGCCAAACCAGCTGCCAAACACCACTCATTTTCAGAAGTAGAACCTGTGGCACTTGTGCACAACTCTGACCCAAGGAAGCTCTTGTAATTACAAAAGTTTTAGGCATAGGACCTCTGCGTTTTTATTAACGGACAAACAACAAGGTTTGAGAAGGTTCATTGAAGAGAGTCACTCCACAGATACAGTGAAGTGCTCGCAGTGCCTGATGCCCTGCTGTTTGTAAAGAATCTCATTGGCCGTGAACATGACTTTTTCAGTTTTTGATCTCTGCCTCACATTGAAGATTGCACTTTACATGGCCATCTTTTAAAAAAATATGGAATTTATTTATTCACTGATTCAGTTCCTTTTTAATGGGAATTTTATTTATTAATAGTAAGGTTTTTTTAAATGGTTTTGGCTTGATCATGGGTTTTGAATTTCCACCTCAAAATCATTTGGTTTGATTATTCACATTGTATTAAAATTTGAAATGATGTTTTTCATTGTGTAACATAAGAACAAAAGTCATTGAATGCACAAACTGAAAGCAAAACAAATGGGTTCCAACCTTTTTCATTTTAAAATAATTTTTCTACGATGTCTTTGACCTGAGTTTGTGAGACTGAAGCTGTTGTGTTGGACCTGAGAGACTTTGTTAAGAGAGGAAGGTGCAGTCATGATTTCCTTTTCTACCTTTTCATGCCCTTTATTTGTGATTGTATTTAGATCAACGGTCCTATTTTTGACTTAATTTGCTGTTTGGAAATGTAAATGTTCAAATGTCCATTTGTTTAAGTCTGTTATACTCAGTGTAATATTTGTAATAACTTCCCGTGGAAACAGTGCACTCCCGTTGCAACTTTTTGTTGTTGGTGAGGTTTTCTTCCACTGGTTTGACAGAAATTAGAGCTCATAAGTTTTTTAAAACTCTGGTCAAGCACATTATCTGCAACACTTGTACAGAGGAGTAGGTTATGTAAATAAAATGATTGTCTAAATTGTATTTTCATGTTGGTGTATTTCTTTCCTGAGCTGTGCATAGAGGCGTAGTTGTGTCCGCTGCTTCTTGAAGCTTCAGATGAGTGTTGCACATGGAGCTGTCTGTCATTGCTGTTTGGTGATTTTTCTGTTTTCTGTTTTCTTTGAGATGGCTGTCCATTACCATAACATTTCAAAAGCCAACAAAAAATAATATATATTTATCTTATTTAACCCATTGCATAAATCTGGTGCCTGACTATGATTTATCAGTGGGCTCACCAACATCTTGTCCCTTTTTTTTCTTTTTTCATCCAATCTATGAGAGATAAGCAGCATAAGAGGTCCAAAGACTTCCTCCTTTACAAAAGTCTTCGATGGCAGTAAAAAAAAAAATTCAGCAGTTTCTTTCCCAGTTGTGTTGGGTCTTCATCTCATGATCATAACACTGTGTACATTGTTGGTGAAAGTATGTGCACATCAAAGTATTCTCAGCTCATATTTTGGATCTTATCCGGCATCAATTTTCTAGTCTTTGTTTCTAACACTTTTTTGAAATTGGCCTCACTGTCTTTTAAGTGGAGCCCTGAATGCAAAAATATGCTTCATGGTTTCAGTCCCCGCACACCTGTACCCTCAGTGGTAAGTACACATTCAACTTTCATTCAGGTGGGGTGAATAATTGCATTTTTTTATTACCTGCACAAAATCAGAATACATTTTCCAATTCAAATAAATATTTCTTTGCCAAGCATATTTAGATTTGAACTACGTGGCTGTGCATCGGAAGTGCACTGCACAGAAATATTACGACTGCTGCCTCTGCTGCTCTTATAGATCCACATTCCCCTCGAATGATTTGACTCCCTATCTAATTCGGTTAATCGGTGAGTTGCAATGCATGGGTTTAAAACAATTATTGTTTAAAGGGACAGTCCTCTCAAATTTGACTTTACTGTTCTCAAATTTGCTTAATGTCATGTGTATTGTGCCTGACCACATCTCCTAGTCTTCTAAACCGCGCAGTGTATGCTGTCAAATACAAGATTGTTCCATGTATAACATGCTTAAGTTAATAAAACTGTTTAAAACTGAAATTTGTGCGAACTTTCCCTGTAAACGTGCTGCACCCTTTTGATGTCTGGAGTAATGAGAAGAATGTACTCTTTGATCCGTGTGGTATTCATGCCTGTCAATATCTCTTGGCCTTCAGGAATTTGAGACGCATAAGGAAATGCCAGAGAGGATGGGAGCAGCTGCAGCGGGAGAGAATGAACAAGGTCCCCTCGGACAAGCCTCAGGACGGCAGCAGCGACATAAAGATGGAGTGCATGTTCAAGCTCAACTCCTACAAGATGGTCTATGTCTGCAAGTCAGAAGACTATATGTACAGGCACACCGCACTCACACGCGCTCATCAGGTAAGCAGAACATGGTTGTATACTTACAATAAATGTTGTCTTCTCTTTAATTTAATAAGTTATGTCAATTGTCAGCTTTTTTTTTCTCTGATAGAATAGAAGCATTGTCATTATGTATAAAATACAATGAAATTACTGTTGCGCGTACCTTCGGTACTTAAAACACCCACACAACCATTTGAAAACAAATACATATTATGTTGGTAATCTTGTGTTGCAACAAGCAAAATATATACTGTATTTGGTTCCAGCAGCAACCGAAATGGCTTTCCTTTCAACCGAAATTGTGGAAACATTGAACGTTTAAGCAGTGATAGGGCTAGCACAATGCAGCTCATTGCAAAGCTGTTTCAACATTAGAGGCAAAGTCAGAAAACTAACCTTTCCAGAATTGTCAACAATGAACTCAGTTTTTCTCAGCGAGGTAATATTTTGCATTTATTTTTCTTTCTCCTTCACCAGAAATATACTATCGGGATTTCCTACAAACTGATTATGTTATTAGATTTTATGAGAGATGGGATAAAACTATTACTAAGCCCAACCTTGTTGCTCATTTAAATGCAATGTCATATTTTAACCTTCTAATAATTGCTGCGAGTGGTTGTTGTTGTCAGTGGGGTTTGAGCCAACGTTTTATCCTTCTCAAGATATGTTGTAAATTATCTTTGTCCCTTTCATACCTTATCTTTTTGTTTTTTTTGTTGTTTTCTTCAAAGGCTCTATCATGATTTTGGGGGGTTTTCCTTCAACTTTTAATTTTAAAATGATGAAACGAGATGTGGATGTGGATAGATGTGAGGTCACTTCAGTAGCCTCCAGATGACACTTAATAAGGGGCCAGTCCCTTCCATACTTACATTACCGTTGATGCTTTCAGTGATGTTCTCTAGTCCCAATCGCTTAAATGTCTTCGAAGCATAGAAACAGGATAGTCTCGATTCTCTACAATCCAGTGGCAAGATACATTGCGTCTTGATGTTATACTATGCAAGTTAATGTGACGACTCTTTATATTTCAAGCTGTCAGCTGAGCTCCTCTGGTCTTCTCTCCTCTGGTCTTCTCTCCTCAGTCCCAACAGCGGGTCAACACTCGCCTGCACAGACGCTTTCATACCTGGCTGGACTCCTGGGCCAAAGAGCATGTGACCAGCGACATGGCTGCCGACAACCGCAAGTGGCTGATGGGAGAAAGAAGAGAAGGCCTGTTGCCCTGCACCACCACTTGCCACCTTAAGGTCCTCCATTATATCAACATTAACAAGTTCCGTGTGAAGTACAGAACACTTTAGTCTCTGTCTATTGAAAGAAACTGTGACGGTGGCTGTCTTCACACACTGCCAGTGATGACTCCATGTACACAGTAACTCCGTGCAGATTTCTACAACCTGCTGTTACTGGATTCAGTTGCCAACTTTTTTTTGGTGTCCGACCTGAGTCAGGAAATGTCTACAAACGTTGAGCTTGCATTGCAAAATCCTGCAATGTATGTAAAATAGTTTTTTTCAGGTGCTACTGTCGCTATATTTTAAAAGAAACCTGCCTGTCTCAAAAATCCAATTATTATATTAATTACATGAGATGAATAGACTGGGAAAACACTCCTTACTGCATCATTTATTTAGAGCAATTCACAGTTTAAACAACAGAAAACCTGGTAAAGCAAAACTAGACTAAACAATGTTAAAGATAATTTACTTTAACATGTACCTGATACTCGGGCAGTAATCTGGCTTCCAGCTGTTAACTTGTATAGCCTGTGAATGTTTTCCTTCTTTAGTGGTAAAGGTGCATAATGCACTATATTGATATAGATATAGATATATATATATATAAAGTATAAACTGTACATTCAACATCTCTGGTGACAGCTGGGTAGATGCTCGACATCTTTACAATGCCAGCAGTGTATATTGCGTAAAGTAATTTATGACCGCCCAACACTTTGTAAATATGTTGTTTATATCTAGATTTGTTTTAACGTGTAGCGTACTTTAACACACATTTGGTATCAGTCTTTAGCTAAAGTTTGCTGAACTGTTTTTTACCAAAGGATGTTAATTAGAGACCTTTTCGTTTGTGGTCTGTTGAACGTGTAATTCCTAAAGTCTTTGAGTAGAAGAATTTCCCATTTTATACGTGTTTCTACCCCGTTATTTGCATTTCTACCTTCAGTCTCTGGTATCAGTATCACTCGTGGTTTTAAGATGATTGAATGTAGCGGAGCAGCATTTCTCATTTCTGAAAGTACAGTATATGTCCTTTTTCAAAGTACTGAGGTCTACTCAATGCTATCAACCTTTCCTGGTATTTAAACTTTATGAAATGGTTATAATCAGAATGACAGGATCGATATGTCGCCTATAAAACTGTACCTGAGCGGTGTTTATTTTGTATGCCCTTTGTTGGTGACAAACACTGACTGATGTATAGTAGCTCTATGTGAATGTCAGACGTGTGAACAGTTTATGGATCAAGATAACAAGCAAACAATAATATTTCCTTTAGACGCAGCTATCAGTTTTGTATTTCTTGCTGAAATACAAACGTGAATGTTGTATTCCATTTGAAAGAGGGATGTAAACTAATGATTTGTATTCCTGCAGTTTATTCAATAAAACTGGAATTGGCCCTGTCGATATGTTAGATGGAGATGGGAAGATATCCATCATGCTAAATACCGTTAAACGTGTTTCACAAATTAACATATAAGCAACACGCTGTTCTTAACATTAACGCTATCCTTGTTATCTTCACATCATCATAACATAAGCAAGTTGGACGCACCAAAAGTTCATTATGTCGGCACAGATTTGCTCCAATACTTTAAATGAAGCAGCCTGACTACAAATATTCCTCCATTAAAGGCAATGGTCAGTAACATAAACAGCTACAGACAATCTTGGAACAGTTTATTACTTGGGTTTTTATTTTTATATTTACTATGTTTAATATGGAATACCACAGAAAGTCCCGGGAAATGATTGTACATAAAGACATTGTTTGTACTTCGTTTTAATGTGTCTGGACTTTTATGATGTTGTACATGAGTGTTAGTATGGTGTTGGGCATTAAACTATACGTTAAATAGTAAGAAATCTAGTTGACCACCTTCTTTTTTATTTTTGACAGCGTTTTTATGATATGGGCCACTTGTTTCTTTTTTTAAAGAAAAAGGTCAACCCGTAAGTTCTTCATCAGGTGATATATCTGCCTTTTTGACTTTTCTAATGTCCCAAAAGCATACACTCTTTAACACAACAAACAAAAGATCATTTGTTCGATTTCCAATGCTAGAAAATTACATACAAAAATTGATAAAACGGCAACATCTGAAATTGTGACTTTTGTGAAGATGGTAAACATTGAATGTCTAAACGGATAATTAGAAAATGTTGATTTTATGTGAAATTTCTCACACTGACAGCTCAGACATTAAAACACCAATTGTTTGAGGATATTTGAACTTGTGGACTTCTGCTATGCTCGTACGTAGATGCGCGTGCACACCACATCATCGGCTCCGAAAGTCTGAAACGAGATTGAAGACAGAAAAAAGAAATCTGATAAACATCGTCATCAGCAGTCTCTTGTTGCTTCAGTAAAGTTAATCTTTCATCATCAGACCTTTTTCTTACTTTGAGAACACTTACACAGCCAAGTTTAGACCGCTCTGATATTAGTGCCTCTGCCTAGTGCCTTCACCTGGGGGGTGTCTGAGGTTTCCTTATTAACAGGCAATTCAGTCTTTTTGTACTTAAAGGTAAGGTACGGTACGGTACGTTTATTTATAGAGCACATTTTCAGACACAGAGGCAATTCAAAGTGCTTTACATCATCATTAACACTTAATAAGACAACCGAAAGGTCACCTATTATCCAAAATACACTTTTTCATGTCTTTTTTTTTTATACATGAATATGTGTCGCCAGTGTGTTAAAAGACTCAAAGTCTCAGGAAAAAAGATTCTCTCCTTTTTTTTTGTCCGGAACCATCTATATAAAAACCTGTCAGAAAATCAGCTGGTAACACCCGTCCACTTTATCACCTGAATCTCCTCCTCGAGCACCATTGTGTTCTTTTAACCAATCATCTCTCAGAGGGGCGTGGCCAGCAGCAGCTCATTAGCATTTAAAGATACAGACACAGAATCAGTACTTCTGAAACAGGGGTTTATGGGATGCTACAATGCACAATCTGTTTGGTATTTCGAGCCAAACACTTCAGAGACATGTTTCGTATATATCTGAGAACTATAATATATTGTTGAAAAGGAGTATAATAGGGGACCTTTAAGTAAAATTTGAAATGCCTTATTCTTATACTACTTAAAGTCAAAGGTAATTGCAAAAATTACTTAAATATCAAGTAATTTAATTCTTACTGTATATGTCAACATTGTACACACAGAATCTTACATTTATAATTTACATTTACCAATAATGTAAGAGCCTTTTAATATTGTATTTTTTCTTTAATACTTTGTTTACTACTGGGTAAATTAGTACTGCATTTATCATTTATGCATGTTACATTGATTTGGAAAATATAACTGTCAAAATTGTTCTTCAGTACAATAGTTTGTAGCATTCCAGCATTGACACATATAAAACATTACCATCATCTTGTGAAAACAGTTTTCTGGTTTCCTGAAGTCTTTCACTTGTACAAATGGCAGTTGAAGTAATTGTCCCTCTACACCGCATTATAAAAAGCTTCATTTTCATTGTGTTGTAGTCCCTACATGTATTTTTAAAGCACTCATATGATGCTCTTTCGCCAATAATGACCTAAATGCCTGCTCATATTGTGATCTTAATTTGGATCAGCTGTCTGCTTAAAGAAACAGGTGGACAAAAGCTGATATGAGAATGGGGAGAAAAACATTGCATGCTGCGGGTTATGGGGTTTATGTGTCCAAGGATAAAGATTTATGGAAGTCCCAGGGGCAAAGCACTATGGCCAACTGCACTGCACACATTATCATTATCTCCTGCTGTGTGGCGGCACGGGGAAACAGGGCAGGATGTGAAAAATGAAGCCCAGGCGACTCCATCTGGCACGTGGCGAGATGCCGAGGGAGACATTAACTGGAGGTATCACCAGGGTCCATTGGCATTTCTCAAGAGCAAGATCAATGAGACCAATTAAAGCCCGTTTCGAGGACACACACACACACAGATCTGGACCCCCGACTAAATCACAGCCACACAATCTCATCTGGCTCTAGTCCCATCATAAAGTCGCCGGTGCACGGCTGTATTAATCTTTTTTAAAAAATCGATATTTATTGGATTGAAATGTAAAAAAAAAAAAATGAGGTTCGTCGCATGGACAAGTATTTATTCTACTTTTTACTGTAGACTTGCCGAATGATCTTTGTGCCCCTCTTCGATCACAGTGAGTGCAGTGAGCAGCGCCATGTTGTCTTCATTAGGCCCCTCATCCATCCATCTCCCCCTGGGACCCTCATGCTCTCATCTGCTGGACAGTGCTTTTATTAGACTGAATGTGCTTTTTATTCTGTACTGAGCCACATGCCTCTGTACACTGAGAGGAGATGGACATCTTGTTGGAAGAAGACGGGATGTTTTATTTCCCTGGAGATGAACGGGCATAACTACCACGCAGCAACAGTTGCTAATAGATTTTATCTCAAAAATAAATCTCATAATATAAACGGGTCTACAATCATTATAGTTGAGAAATGAAACAATTGTTACATTTGTAGTTCATGTTCTGACTGAAGTTTTGGACTACTCCAACCAACCAGGGGAGTTTAAACTTTGCAGTTACCAATGTGCCACTGTTTTACTATTTAGTAATTCTGTGTTGTCTATGTTCATACTGACAACATGACCAATGAAGTCTAATTGAACTGGGTAAACAATCATCCTAATCTCCCTACATGTCTTCTTCTTTGACATTTGCTTCTAGTCTTTGGAAATGATGTGACAGACTGAATACAAAATGACTAAACCATGTAGGCTTTCTAAGACTACATTTAAATAACTGTTAGCATAAATTACCTTGAATTCGGTGCAGTATGTAATATCATTTTGTGTTGTGTAATTTATGATCTGATCCCAGCAACAATATACTGACTTAAACATAAGTATCTGCGTGCAAAGTAACCCATCTGTCATCACCCCCCCCTCAGCATTCAGCAGTATATTTAACTTGTGTTGCTGAGGCGTAGTAAAACCAAAACTTTGTTTGCAGAATATTACAGAACCTGTTAAACTAATACTCATTATTTAGTTTTATTAATAAATTAGTTATGTGTACATCTACTGACGTCAATATAAAATATTTCACAGTCTGGATCGCCTCAGAGCCAAAAATCTTTGCTTCAACATCGTTCAAATCTAAAAATCCAAACAATGCATTAGTTGGGATGTAATATGAGGGATTTTCGTTTAATTACAAACCAGCAGGGAATATATATCGGACCTCTCCCACACCGGTGGTATTATAACTTGTTCTCTTTTCCTGTGAAACTTTTTTTTCTTCCCAATGATTCAACCCCACATGCCGATCAGATTACATCCCATCACTCCAACATGGACAGACAGACGTCCACACCCTTATCTTAAATAAAAACAGATTTGGTGCGGTTCAAAACGTTTGTTCCCAGTTTGGAAACCTGCCTTCAGCCTAAATTACAGCCCCTCTCAAGTGTTTCCCTGAGTGCCTCTCTGCAGTGGTGAGTCCATCACAGACAAACTGGACTTTGTTGACCAGCTGGCCAATAAATCCAAGCAGACCCAGATGTTTACAGGAACTAAACTTCTTTGTCTTAGTGATCTTGAATTTACAGGCTGACGTGTTTCTGATGTGTGCAATATCACTGAGTGCAGTCCAACATCATTCGTGAGGCAGTTAAATGTTAGTGTATTCCTTTTAAATCTAGACTAAGTTTCTCCGTGGATCCCCTGAATCTGCCTTGCTGTAACAAATACTTCACCTGCTCTCAGCCTACATGGCCTACATGTTAGAAAACCTCTTTTAATATGAACTTAAATAGATATATTTAGTTCATATTTCCTTGATGTGAACAAATAATGAAATGTAAGAAACAATGCATCATGATAATGTGCTGCCTCACAGATGCAGGCATGTTTATTCACACCCTCATTTGGCAGAAGAAGGAAATACAAACGGTGTTTCAAAATGGCCATGGGAGTTCAGAACATTTTCCAGGAACTACGTCGTTTTTTGGGTAAATTATTGACCAGATTGTTTCACATTTCACATCTGGTGTCACCACCCAGTTATGGCCTGTCTTTCTGCTTGTGCTGTGATTGTGTGTTGTATCCGCCTGAAGTATATTACAAGTTCCTTAAGTTCAAAAATAAATCTCATCTGTGAGGCCATGTTTGTTCCACGTTCCAAGTATTTATGCTAAGCTAGGCTAACCAGCTTCTGGCTGTCCTTTTGATGTATAGATATGAGAAAAAATAATAATTGAGGACTGTCTGTTTAAGCAATCCCTTGATTTCTTATTGGCAGACAGAGATGTAGAAACAGGAATTGGCCCATATATTTAAAGACAGCGACCAAACCTGACACCTCATCCCACTTTCAAAACATCTGTTCATCTATCTGCTGGGAGATTTTGTATGAAAATTGGAGTCATTGAATCCACATCCGTCTCCAGGCTGATGGGAGGAGAGCATTTGGGAGCTGCAATTTTATAAAAGAAAACAGAGAGAACTATTTGCTTATTAGAGAAAAGGGGATGATCATGAAGACACATGTGGACCCATAAATGCTTTATACACTTGATTAATTTGAGTCAACATCTGCGTGTAGCACTCTCTTACTTCTCACCCATATTTCACTTATAGTAAATGAAAATAAATAGAACTGCTCACCAGTATGAGTTCATCCCCATTGAGTTCTCGGGTCCAGAAGGTCTTCGGGCCGTTCCCGCTCAGTAGAGTCTGTTTGCAGTACATCTTGTTTTCTGTTTCCCAAGTGGCCAAGCTCTGTAGAAAAAGCCGCACTTTCATGAGGGTTCCTATATTTATTTCCTCAATCTTAGCCGACTTACAGACTGTGTGTTAATCACTAGTCAGTCTTCAGGGCTTATTTTTGCATGTTTTACCCTGAATAATAATACTTTTCAGATTTATCTGGTTGGTTTTTAGCTTGTTCCTTGCAGCCCTACATTTTAGTATAATATAATGCTTAAGGGTACACTAATAAAACCAATTGCACTCATAAAGTTCTGGTTACTTATCACAAGGAATACTTTTTTGTTATATTAAGGATACAAGTCAGGCTCTCTCATCCTCTTCGGTTTTATTTCTACCATTCTTTTAAAAATCTGTCTCCTACAAGTCTCCACATTTCATAAGATGTCCTTTTTAACTTTCACCGACTTGGGTATTGTTGGTTAATTCCTTTTTTTTTGTCAAAGTTAATTTATCCCTCAATGATAGTGAAGTTAAATATTTAGATTTTTTTTTTAAAGAACATTCCAGAGGGAGGTTTTGTGATCCAGTGGGAAACCCCAATACTTAAAACAAAAAGCTACACAGTAATTTAAGAGAAGGAGACATATACATTGATAGAAAGTTAATCATGTACTGATTAATCAGATTACCTTACACTTTCTGCCGTCCACCGTCTCCTCATTAAACTCCTCTCCCATGAGGAAGTTGATCTCCGTGGTGCGGACGGTGGTGGAGGTCTTGATGTAGAAGTGCTCATCGTTCTGCCTTATCTCCACATGGGGCTTAGACGCAGCCGCCACCGCCACCTTCCTCAGCATTGCGTTCACTCCTGAGAACACACACAGAGCTACAGTGTGAATACTACACAGGGCTGATCAGTCAGTGGAGGATAAGACCCTGATGTACAAAACCACTTTGATCCCACCTTTAACCACTAAGAACTACTTTGTCCGTATTTTATCACTTGATATTGAGTTGTGTCACGTCACATTTTTTCTGTCTGCCTCTGGCGCCAAAGACATGGGAAGAAAAATATCTGAGTTCATGTTACAGATGTGAAACTTGGCCTATTTACCAAAGGAATGCATACAGATAGTCATCAATCTGAGTTCAAACTAACCCTTTATTAGTTGTCAGGAGAAGATTTCACAGTATAAGCCAGTGGGTTTTCATATTTAAAAAAAAAAAAGGGTCTTGAGATTGTTATCAGCAGATGTTGCAAATATGGAGGCTGCAGTGACAAGGTGATGAGGGGGAGGAATGCTGCTTTGTTTGGCTCTCCTGTACCTCATGATAGATTCTGTCCTCCAAACAGCGGAAAAGCTATTAACCCTTCCTGTCACACATTACAGTGAAAACAATCAGATGAGAGAACGCTTCAGTCTGTTTCCCATCCATCCTCCTTGGAGTTCACGTTCTCTCCTCCTGTAATTTAAACCAGTTGTCCTCTACTTTGGAACAAGCAGTGCCGGTGGTAAATGTGGTCTTTTGCAACCATACATCTAAAAGCAATTTAAACAGCAGCCTAACCTGCCTATGATCGAGCTGAAATTAGGTATTTAGACATTGGATTGTTGGACCGTGGTGGGAAAAATATCATCTTTAATTGTACCTTTTTTGATCAATCAGTTCTTTTGTTAAGATGCTTACAAAAAGTATAATCTCCAATCTGTACCTCAAGTTTGAATTTTTTTTCTTCTGTTTTGTTAACAATAGAAAATCACCAATCTATTCACTTAACTTCATCTCTGCATGCATTTCAAAATGAACCTTGATTGCAGTCTGTATTCCAAGTACGATATCTACATCTATCGCACAGACCTCCTTCCTGTTCAGTCAATACATCATTTCAGAAACCCCTCGAACTAAAATGCAATCAAACATTCATAGAAAAAGAGAAAATGATCCTCACCCAGAGCTTTGAGCAAATCTTCGAAATTCTCGCTGCTTTTCATTTTCCAGGTGCCTGCAAAATTGGGCATTTTTTCTTGTGGGGTTCTGGATGTGTCTCAGCCTTTCGTCTCCTGTCGTCTGTCTCCTCCGCTGCCTTTCTCTTCAGGCTCTTTCTCTCCCTCCCTCTCTCCCTCCCTCTCTGTGTGCAATGATCCCACACAGCAGACCCCATTCCCCCTCCACCTTAGCCTCCTCTCCCACACATCCATTACACACAAACACACACACACACACATTGTAAATGGTTTATTCTCATTAGAGAATAGAATAATTGTGGACAAATTATGATTCAGTTGAATGTTCTTGATGTCTCTTCATCTGATCCGACTGAGATTTAGTGGAACTTAATAGAGTATTTACACAAATATTTATTGAACTAAGATTTTTTTTTTATACAAATGTTCCTACTTTGCCTTTTATGTAGGTATTTATCCACCAAAAAGGATTATATTCTCTCTTCCTTTTATACAAAATGTGTAGTGTGGTGGAGAAAATATATTGCACCTACATTGAGTTAATTTTTATTTCAAAGTAGTTTAAATTTGAAACCAATTCCATTCACCCCCACTGGGAGGAGGACATCACAAAAAATGCAGTACAGTTTTAGTTTGTTTGTTGTTCAAATATATTTATGACTGTAATGTTAGGTGGATCTACCCTTAATGTAAAGCAATAAACGATCATAAACTATTTCAAAAAAGGTTTGTTGTGCAGTCATGTATTCAGCTGTTGTAGAAACACTGATACTGAAAGGATAAGTTCATATTGTTCATAAAGTACATCTTAAAAAATACTTGTTTGTCCTTTGTACATTAACACAGTTTTTGGTCACTTCACTTGCTGTTGTTATGATTTGAAGAGATCCATTGCTAAAGTGATTTCAATGTAATCATGATTAAAATGTGTTTATAGTTCTGCCGAAGTTTAAACAGTCTGAGTTAGATTCATTTTGGCATTTTCTAAAGTTATGGTCTTTTTTTACAAGGTTTAAGAGAAGATAGTTGATTTGTGTAACTCAGATTGACTGCAGAAGCCTTTTGTTACTGGGAAATGCATTTAGCATGAAGCAAATGGATTTTATCTTCCATTTATTTGCTTATGAAATCAGGAGTGAAGACAAAAAGTGAAGACATCTTGTATAATACTTTTGAAATGAGGAGGCTGGATTAATGTTCTATAGTTGATATTTAAAGGCATCAACATAGATAATTAAATCACCTTTCTAAAACTTCTTTGTCCTTTGCTGCTTTTCAAAACACTCTATATTTCCTCACGACACTCTATCCCACCTTTTATTCTCCACACACACACACACACACACACACACACACACACACACACACACACACACACACACACACACACACACACACTTGCACGTCTACCACCATCACATCCCTTGAGGATGAGAGGCCCTTCCTCTAACCCCGACCAGCTCAGATTTGTTTCCTCTTTGACAGCCCCTCATCCATCTTTCTGACAAAGTGCCTTCCAGACACTGGCTGATAATTAATGCAGAGAGCAGAGCAGGGAGCACTCCGTCATCCCACCATGATCCGTCAGCCTGTTTGTTTCATTCATCAGGAGATTTGTCCGCCCTCCGGTGGGTTTGTTTTTACTAAAGGGAAAGTGAGGGAAAAGTTAGAAGATTTGGTGCAAGCATCTTAAAATGTAGGGGCATGTTTCTGCTGCCATCCAGAAATTAGGATGTTAAATATTAATGTTGGTTATGAAATCTTCCTTTAAATGTGTCACCATATGTCATAGGTTTTTTGTGTTTATGCTGCAGTAATTTCTCCACTTAATTAATAGATTTATATTTTGTATGTTTTATTCACCGCCATTTTTGAAAAATTAAGAAGATCTTTGCAATGACAAACAAAAAATATAACTTTTTTTAAATACTGACAGAAAGTCAGTTTTGTAAATGTTTAAGAAAAAGTATATAATATTACAACAAGCACCAGCATCCTTAAATTGTATTGATCATCAAATATTTTCTTACATTTTAAATTGCTTGAAGAATGCTACTAATACTAAATGTTGCAGGGCCATCCTCAGTCGATTCTTTCACCTCATTAACATGATGACAGATGACCTTTGGTGTCAGTGTCACCTTCAATAAGACTTATGGACGCCCCACAGTTATGAGAACATCAAGGAAACGCATCACTCACCTGCTCCCATTTTGTCTCCCAGAGCTTCTTAAATGCAAAAAGGAACCCCCTGAGGGCAACAAAACGAACAATACAGTCAACTCTTCAAAACGTTATATCACAAAAAACCTCTCCCTACGATTACAATTTATCCTCCCAAAATGTGACTTTAAACACTGAAACTCTGAGATAGCTATTGGCTTCAAAAAAGTATTTGTCATGCTTTAATTGGGCTCCTAAGCTCCTGCATTGGGCTGCAGATGACAGCAGATACAGCTTGACATTGCAGATTGGAATTATCTTAATTCTTTATTAAAATCCATCAAGGAAAAATACGAATTTGAAAAAGCAGCAAATGCTCATTAGCTTTGTTTGAACATGTGTAAATAATCAGTGACTTTTTGTTAAGCAGTTGTTAAGTTTAATCAACCAAATAGATGAACCACGACATGGTGAGATGACAAGCAATGTGAAATCTTTACAAGACAGTTGACAACAGGAGGTTCATCTCTGAAATCACACTTTGAATTACAGAAAGTCGTGCAAATAAATTCCAGACTTTAGTCAAAATTATTCTCTTTTCCAAACAAGGTTTGCCGACTTTAGAGTTAGAGTTCATTGGGTGTTGCATCTTGGCATGGCCTAGGAGCAGATTTATATATAACTTCAGAAAACATTACGGGATGTTCAGGGCTTCATTTTAAACAAACGCAGGTAAAGGAATTTGCCTTCAATCAAACTAACACCGCCCCCTTCAGCTTTGTCCGTGATGAAAATAACAGTGACAGAATTTAAGCTCTTAAACATAATGGGTCATTTGAAAGTTGAACACTTCTGTAGTTATAAACGCCAAATACATAATGAAAATAAATAAGGTATAATGCATTCCTTTATCACGTTATTCACACAATGTAATACACAATCACATTTTGTGCCGAAAAAGGATAACACATTTAGAATATTGCACAAAACAACTTCAATCATTCTCCAATTCCTGGAAGCTACCAGTACACAAAATAATTTATTGACCAGCGCGATCATTGCAATATGTTTTACAATATCAAACAGCCAGCATATTAGTATGTTACAAAAAGGCTGATCAAATATTGTACTCTATGTATTTTTTCTGTTTTGCGTGGAATTTGTCAAATAATTTGCTTGGACTCAGTTTGTGCAGCGTACAAAACAGTCAATTAAATACACCGACAACACAGGCTGCCATGACACACAGATTGTAACTCTACTCTTCTTCTTCTCGCACATTCAGCAAAACAAAAAGCAGATTTTGCATCTTGAATATACTATGAAGGCAAATATCTTTTTAAAAGGCAAAATTAAATTAAATATACATAGATGCCAGTGACAAAGTGAAGGAAAACAAGCACTTTGAAAACCTGTTTACTTCTGACGTGAATGCGTCATCATACATTAAATTACTTTTCTCTGAAGCCTGATCAAAACCAGTCTTTTTTTGTATGCATGCCCAACAGCACAAACAATCTAAGATAAAAACATGTTATCAGGAATCACTTTCCTCCACCGCAAAGAAGCTTGAACATGATAGTAAAGCGTGAAAAATCCATTGTCTAAAAGTTGGATAAATGTGTCTGCATCTTCCAGTGTAAAAGCAACATGTTATTCACCCCTTTAAAAGTACATTAAAAATAGCAACAGCCATGTTAAGCAGCAATACAACCTGAACCTGGATCTGGTGTGAATGTTAATGGCCGAAAGGTTTTTAATCTACAAGTAATATGTTTGAATGATCACATAATTAATGTCGGACACACAGGTACTGTGATTCAAAAGTGGCCTGATTTCATTTTGTTCCCCAGGTTGTTCTTTAAAAAAAAAATCCAGAGTTTTTATATGAGGTCTCATTAGGGCTAAAATGGCACGTGGTCCATATGTCATCAGTGCATATTTTTTCTACCAGTGTCTTGAGTCCACCAGCTCCGGTCGCAAACTCATTTTTTTCAGCGTCTCGTAGCCGACCACCATGACGATGGCAGTGGGCGTGGACGAGATGATGCGTGCGGAGAGTCCTTTGGTCAGCCCCCAACAGCCCTCCTCTTTGATCAGCTGATTGAACGTCTCGATGACAGAAGATCTCCCTTCAACCTAAAAAACATGTGTTATTATTTGAAACCACAAACCGTTATTGCCTAGGACTGGGTGTTGTACATGCAATTACATCGATTCATTCAGATTTGTGTAGCCAAACATGCCATTTATGGCTTAACTATTGGCATATCTCAAACATTAGAATCTGGATTTTGTTTTCAGTGAATCGGTTATTCAACATAGCAGGGTCAAACTGTCTGATGGATCCACAGTAAAGGAAATGTACCTGCACTCTGGCTCTGACCACGTCCATTGGGTTGGTGACAGTTGAGGCAGTAGCGGCAGCCAGAGGTCCGGCCATGGCTTGTAGAATCAGATGAGGGCAGTCACTGGGAGCCAGTTTAGAGAGCTGCTCTGTTAAACATTACACAAACAGATATTTGATTGACAACAAGGCAAGAACTGTTGTATTCATTATAACTGCAGTCGTACACATTCACTGGGGACATACTGATACTCATAAACGACATAAACCAAGTATTTAGAGAAAGTGCACTTAGCACAGAGCTTTTTTGTGCAGGATAGTTGAGAAAACATTTTTTCAGCCACTTACCAGCATAAAAATGATAAAAAGGCCACCAGACAGCACTGTTTGGGATATAGGTGAGCAGAGATGCCACATATCCCCTGTAGAAGCCCCGGAAACCATCAGCAGCAAAAATCTGAGACATGATGGTCCTGGTTTGGCCGAACATTTGTTTTGAGTTCTTACTGTCAGCATTGAGACGAAAGCGGGTGAGGTGCTCCCCTTGGCCCTGCATCATCAGCTGCTGAGAGACCACATCTATAGGAACAGTAATGCTCTGAGCCACCAGAGAGGCTGAGCCGCCCGCCACCAGGGACTTGACCGTATTGTCATCAGAATACTGGGAGACATACTTCCTCACCAGCTCATAGGTGGTGATGTAAGCCTGGCCTGAGATCAGTGTGAGGGTGTTGACCATGAAGCCACGATAAAGGCCTCGAACACCCTCAGCCCGCAGAATCTTGAAGAACGCGTCAAAGGTGCCGGTATACAGTGACGTGCCTCTCTGCACCTGCAGCAGGGTGCGGATCAGAGTCGCCGGGTAGACGGTGGCCCGGATGCTCATCGTCATGAACACCCCGAAAGAGTAGAACTTTCTTTTATCGAGGTCCTCCCACTCGATGATCTGGATGTTCCTTTTGTCATGCATCCTGCCAGCTGTAGGTGCCCCCTCATCAAACTGATTCCTAACAGCAAAAACAAAAACAGGGTGGTGAGTAAACAAGTTTTACTACGAGTGGAAGTTCAGGGATATGCTTTAGTTGGATACCAACCAATGAAAACATCAGGTGTGAAAATGGTAACGTTTTTTGGTTTCTTCTCTAGAACAAGAGGGCACTAAAGCATCTTGGTCAAATCTAGTTACCATGAGATTAAAAATAAAAACATCATTGCCATCCGGGGGTTAGATATTAGATGACTCACATATTGGCGGGTGGCTTAATTGCATTAATGCAATACATTGTCTAATATTGTCATTGATCATAGATTTATAATACTGCCAACAACAGCCTAGTTTTCTCTATCAGTACAACCATGTACCACAGCAGCACTACTTATTTACCTGAACTGACTTTGCAGTGAAAACAATCATGTTAAATTAATAGTTAACTACTTCTCCTTGAGCAATAATATTGATATCCAATTATGAGTGAGAGTTCAAAGGTCGTGCTGCAAGACACCAAGCTAAAGCTAACCACGAAGATGTGATAAACCAATTAGCTTAGGCACAACAATATTAAGGCATGTCGACAATATGATCGTGTTCTTACAAATATCGCTCTTCTTGGTCACCCAGTAGCTTATCACCAGTTACGTTTAAATGCAGCATTCTGTGCATGACCCCAGGCTCAGCAACACCGGTCAGAGGACACCGTGTTCCCAGCCGGTGTGAAGCGAAATGACAGCTCCCTGAGCAGCCGTGGGTTAACCAATAACACGTATGAAACCCAACAAAGTAAGTCGAACAAAGACCGCATCAGTCGTATAATAAAATATGCCAGTGCTAGTGGTTTAAACAGGTGTTTAGCTAACAAGAAGCTAGCACTGGGTAGCGTTAGCATTGGTATGATTAGCAAGCACTTACCTTTTCGTACAAATGTTTGTTACACAGTCAGGACAAAGTTGGTCTGACTTTAAACATTATGTTATCGGCCGATTTAAATGCAATTCTGAGTAACGTCTTACAGTTGCTTACATATACTAAGGACGTTCGCCGTAGTTAGCTTCCTTTGAACTACTCAGTCAACTTCCGCTTCCCATTCAAACAGCATGCTGATGAAACAACCAATGACATTGCAGAGCTGCTTCTTCTTCTTCCTCTGGATTCGGGCAGACTGGATTCTTGCTGCACATTTCCTTCTCTCAGTTCATTCAAGAATTTGTTACATGATAGGTACACCCTGCCTTGCCCTTGTGTGGTCATGGCGTCGTATACCTGGCTGTCTTACACTATTTTGTGAAGAGAATGTGTGACCTCCCTTATTAATGTCTCTTCCTGCCAAACAGCATTATGTTTCTCTTTATGATAGATACATGCTCAGATGTCACAATTATTTCTTTATCTTTTTATTTCTCAGGGACAAAATATATTTTTAAAAAACGTGTTCATGTGCCAGGAGGCAGGTTCCATACATAGTCCCTGCACAGGTGTGAGGTTGGCAGCCTGAAGAGAAAACATGTTTTAGCTGCCTAATTCACATTCATACCAACATGGGCTAGTGCCCAAGGAAACCCCGCTGTGTCGCCAGTCTGCTTAATATTATACAATAGAACCATCAGACCCAGCACCAGTATGTGCTCTACTTACTACAACAGTTGCTGTTGGGTCTCATCTTCATCAAAGAAAATCATTGGACATTTTTGTTGATGTTGTTACAACAAATCCAAGATAGTTCAATAAGTTACGTTTTCATATTTTATTAACCACCCATGTTTAAAATCATTAGTTGTATTAAATGTTATGACATTAACTTTGATCGGTTATGGTTATGACATTACCTTCTGATCGGTTATGACATTACCTTCTGGTCGATCCTCCTGCCGGAGGGTAGCGCTGCTGAGCGGCTTCTTCATCTCCACAGCACCCCGGCGTGTGAGGAAACATTAAACTGAAAGTAGTGGACCTCTTATTCTGTAGGAAAACTACGCCAACTTAGACCATTCCACCTAAGGTAATATATTCATATTTTAATATGTACTGCAGTATGCTTTTAGTCCACCACCATTTCAGAGTAGGCCTATAGGTATATTTTGACTCTAACCATTCAGAGGACTTCCTTTATTATGAACTAGCTAGCTGGTTAGCATGCTAACGACCTAGCATGCTCAGATATTGCAGATTCATTCTGTACAGCAGCAACTAGCTAAGCTAGCTTAGCTGTCAGATACTTAGGCACAGATACAAGTGGATAGTAACGACTTTTACTGTTGTTGTGAGTTAAAATTGTGTGCCAATAAAGCATCAGAGACTTTCTTGACAATTTATACTTTAAAACTGTAGGGAAGAATACATTTACTCAAGTATACATGAAATGAAAACTGGTATCAATACAAACTGAAACGTTTATATGCTCACTGTTTGGTTTCTGCTGGTCGTGCCCATCATCTTATAACTTGTGTTTTACTTTGCAGGACAGTTTCAGTGACGGGAAAAGATGGTGAGTAGCTGTCATAAATATCTTAATACATGTTAAACATATTACGCTACCCTTTTCCTCAGCTAATTCCAGTTTTTTCTTTTGTTGTTTAGTCTCGTAGATATGATTCCCGAACAACCATCTTTTCCCCTGAAGGCAAGTCTTGAATCTACTTTATCACTTTAATTGGATCACTTTTATACGTATTGTTCGTTATTGTTATGCAATTTTCTCTATAAATGTGGCTTTTGGTATGCTAAATATCTTGGTAAATGGAAAGTTTTCTTGTTAAAGATATTTATTCTAAATCAAGTTGAATGTTATGTTGGTTGAGGTATGCTTTTCTATGATGTTTAGACTGTTGGGTTTAACTGCTTTTACAAAAAAAAATTGTCTAGCTTATTTAACTGGCCATTGTGTTTTTAGATACACGTTTCTTTGAGGTTTGGGGTGTAATAAAGTTCTGTGACTGAATTTCACAGGGCGCCTGTATCAGGTGGAGTATGCGATGGAGGCGATCGGTCACGCTGGCACATGTCTGGGGATTCTAGCAAATGATGGCGTGCTGTTAGCAGCTGAGCGACGCAACATCCACAAACTGCTGGACGAGGTTTTCTTCTCTGAGAAGATCTACAAGCTCAATGAGTGAGTGATCTGAACAGCAGAAATACTTTTCAGCACCCACGGCTTGGCCTATTCATACCATTAAAAACCTTCGTCATCATTTTTTCAGTCTTGATGTACTATAATCTTGTTATGGTCTTATTTTTTCAGCGACTTGGCCTGCAGTGTTGCTGGGATCACATCAGATGCCAATGTACTGACAAATGAGCTGCGGCTTATTGCACAGAGGTGAGTTTCAGAGGAAATCCTGACACCCATTTTTAGGTCTGTCCCAAAAACCAATTTTTTGTTGTTGGTTTTCAGCATGTTTTACTGATTTATTTAAAATTGTTTCTTAGTCAGCCAGAAACAGTACATGTATTGTGAGATCATGGTGTTGGATAATGAATGAAGACATTTGTTAAGCAAAACTATTTTAATTGTATCTGATTAAACAAGTGAAAACAACATAGCATAATCTTTCAATAAACACAGGAACATTCATATTTAATTGAAAAGGTGTAAATATACAGTTCTGCAAGGACAAACTTTAGATTTGTACTCGCATTGGCCATTAACCTCTGATCTGTTTATTTGGTTCTCAGGTATCTTTTGCAGTACCAGGAGCCAATACCGTGCGAGCAGTTGGTGACAGCCCTTTGTGATATCAAGCAAGCATACACACAGTTTGGAGGTGAGCTACACTGTAGTCTGCTTTACTAGTTTAAAGCTAGTATCCTTTTATGTATTTGAACCTGAATCAAACATCTCCTGCAACATATTGTCAATTGTAACATTTCCATTGTGCACGTTTAGAAGCTACAAGAATATTTATACCACATTCTCATTTTTGTGTAAAAGTACAGTTGGGTTTTGGCTTTCTGTAACAGCTGTTTGTGGTTCATCTTGACAGGTAAGAGGCCGTTTGGTGTCTCTCTTCTCTACATGGGCTGGGATAAACATTACGGCTTCCAGCTGTACCAGAGCGACCCCAGCGGCAACTATGGAGGCTGGAAGGCAACCTGTATTGGCAACAACAGCGCTGTAAGTCTGAAATGGCACAGATAATGAAAATCAATGAAAGGATCAAGGCAGTGTCATATGGAAGTTTTCCTGAATTTGAATAGCATACATAACATTGTAATAATTTATTGGATGTTTTTTATCTAATCTAAGAATAACTTAATGCGACACATTACTCTGCAAAACTTAAACCAGTAATTCTTAGATGCCAGTGCAATTTTCACACATAATGGGCCATACATGTATCCATATATCATTGTGAATGTTTATGGTGTTTGATGTGTTGTCTTCTTGGCCTCAGGCTGCAGTGTCCATGTTGAAGCAGGACTTCAAAGAGGGTGAGATGAGTCTGTCCTCCGCCCTGGCTTTGGCTGTCAAAGTGCTGAACAAAACAATGGATGTAAGCAAGCTCTCAGCGGAGAAAGGTGAGATTTAAAACTCCTAAATTGGCGCAGCTAACGACCTTTACTAGCTTTGCAAAAATGTTGCTGTCTCTGTACTTCTGTCTAGATGTACTGAAACAGGTACTCACTATTTAATCACCAGAATGTGTTTATTGCCTTGTTGCCAGAGAGTGTTTAGTTGCAACAGCTTGATGTATACACTAACGTAATGCTCTTTCACATATACTGTTTCAGTGGAGATTGCCACCCTGACACGGGAAGACGGGAAAACAAAAATCAAGGTGCTGAAACATAAAGAAGTCGATGAACTCATCAAGCGGCACGAGGCTGAGGAGGCCAAGGCTGAGAAGGTCAAAAAAGACAAGGAGCAGAGGGAGAAGGACAAATAGGCAAACATTCTTTTATTTTCTCCTGTCACCAAATCCTGTATTGTTTTGTCTTTTACATTAAAAGTTTGGAAATGATGAACGTGTTGTCTGTACTGGTGTCACAAAATTAAGGTACATGTTTTTATTCTCACCCTATCAAAACCATTTTTTTCTTAAAGTAATTTAAAAAAATCTTATCTCTTCCAATAAGTGAGACGTAACAAACGATTCAACAGTAGCTAAGTTACTACAAGTTATATATTACTTAACAACCACATATTTATTTTGCCATGTCTTCGAGCACCTATTGTGCAGTGCAACTCTTTTATTTGCCACATGATGGAGCTGTCCATCCAATGGATGCACCTTTACAGTAATGTGTTAGGTAAATCTAAAATAACAAGACCTTTTTTGATTTTGTAATTTTACTAACCCATTTATAAAATAATAAAAAATCTTGGATTCTTAATTTGTAATTTTATCATATATCACATTGAGCCTACAGCTTTATTAGAATATTGTAATTGTGATACAGTGCTTTCACACTAACAACCAAGCAAGTTCAAATTAATACATTTATTTCAACAGTCACATTAAAACAATTACTAAATCAGCCTACTATCACCTTAAGAATATATCGAGTATTGACACAGCAGGATTTGAAAAACTTGTCCATGCTTTTATCTTCAGTAGACTCGACTACTGTAATGGTGTCTTTACAGGTCTCACTAAAAAATCTATTAGAAAGCTGCAGCTAATTCAGAACGCTGCTGCTCGAGTCCTCACTCACACTAAGAAAGTGGATCACATCACTCCTGTTCTGAAGTCTTTACACTGGCTTCCTGTGTGTCAAAGAATATATTTCAAAATACTGCTGCTGGTTTATAAAGCATTGAATGGTTTAGGCCCAAAATGCATGTCTGACCTACTGCTAAATTATGAACCATCCAGAACTCTCAGGTCTTCAGGGACTGGTCATCTTTCTGTCCCCAGAGTCAGAACTAAACATGGAGAAGTTCAGTTATTATGCTCCAAATATCTGGAACAAGCTCCCAGAAATCTGCCGGTCCGCTGCAACTCTTACTACTTTTGAATCCAGGCTGAAGACGTTTATTTTTGCCGCTGCTTTTAATTGAACTCTTCATACCTTAAACTGCACTGTAAACTTTTATTCATGTATTTTTTCTTTTAATGTTTATTTTATTATCTTGCTTTTTAATGACTGTTTTTAAATGCCATTTTCTTAAATTAATGTCCTTCATTTTTGTAAAGCACTTTGAATTGCCTTGTGTTGAAAGGTGCTATATTAAAAA